GCTTGCCAGTGACCAGTTAGCTAAGACCCTAGGACCCTTTTTTTTAAATTTTCAATGGACTCTATCATTTTTGTTAGTCAGGCTAAAGACTTTATTTTAATTTATCGTTATTAGAAGCTCAAAAAGCATTGCATGCTAAACTTAATATGGTACTTTAATTTTAAACGACTCTAGGGAATTCCTGTGGATTTTCCTTGACAGTCCCATTTTGTTTTTGGGCGGGGGGGGGGGGGGGGGCACGGAGGAAGAGGGTGTGTTAGGGCGAGTGTTAAATGAATAATGACTGCTTCTAACCCTAACCAGCCCTGAGGTATGTTATGTTCTTGGGGTTTCCCTGCGAAATCTCGGAGCCGACGATATAGGGCCGTCTAAAAATTTACCGTTGATATCATTCTTTTTGAAGCGAGCACTGCTTGCCCTAGTTCCCCAGTCTTCTTGTAATGAGCGCTGCTTGCCCCAGATTAGCATTGGTTCTCTAGTCTTTTTGTGGTGAGCACTGCTTGCCCTAGCTTGGTGTTTGTTCACCAGCGTTCTTATAGTGAGCACCCCCCCCCCCCAATCAAAAAAAGTTTGATGTTGGTTCACTAGCCTTCTTGTAGAGAACACTGCAAGATCCAAGTTAGTGCTGGTTCACCAGCCTTCTTGTAGTGAGCACTGCTTTCAGACTTCTTGTGACGAGAGTGACGTTCGTTCTGTAAAGAGCCCGCTGATTGATGCTGATGATAACGATCTTGGTGGCCAGTGCTACAGAGTGCGTACTCTGTCCTTGATACCATCTTCAAATGGCAACAGGGAGAGTGGGATGAGGAGAAGACGACGAAATGGAGAGGGGAGAATGCATAGAAATAGGAGAGCTGGAGTCTGGAGAGTCAGGCAAAAAACGGAGCGTCTTGGATTAAATAGAGCATATTAGAGTGGGTTACTGGAACTGTCGTAGTGCCAAGCAGAGAGGACCTGTACTGGGGAGAATGATTTATGACTTTGATATCATCATGTTGCAGGAAATAAACGATAGATATGAGTGTCCTGGATACACTAGTTACATAAATCCTACTAGACAGGGAGACCTGAACAGTGTCTGCTGGTGAAAAATGGGTTGCAGCATGGGGTTCTTGAGCTGGGCCGGTGGAATCATGATACACTAGAGGTTCAGGTTATGCAGATAGATAATGGGCGAAAAACCTAGGATTTGGTAAATGTTTACGCTGCTGTTGAATCTCTTGTCACAATGGAACATTGGGACTGGCTCAAAGATCAGGAGGAAATCCCTGTTAATAGGCTTTTCATCTGTGGAGGTTTCAATGCGCGGAACGGAGCATGGGACAATAGTGGGGAAAATAGTCAAGGAAATGCTTTAGCGGAAGCTATGGTGGATGCAGAGGCAGTCTGTATAAATGACGGTAGGCCAACTAGACTGGCAATGAGACCTGGTTGATTTGGCTTTTGTTACCCAGTCAGCTGTGCTGGACACAAAATGAAGTGTCCTAGGCGATCATAGGAGTGACCAAATGCCATGCTCAGTATTGATTTCTAAAGCTAGCAAGATCAGAGCTGTGAGAACGCGCAAGACTTTTAAGTATGAGAGAGGCAGTACCCTTTTTGGACGCCTTCGACAGAAGGTATGCAGCAGAACCACCATCTCTGCTTTTGTGCAGCCTCCATGGTCGACCCACGAAGTAGAACAAGCATGGAGAGCAAAGCGAGCAGCAGTTGAGAAATTAGACAAAGTGCGAAAGGCACCTTACAGGTTACAAGAGCATGTAGAGAGGTTAGAAAAAGTTAGAAAATAAAAAGTAGAAGATTATAAACGTTGTGCAGCCGATGCAAAGAAGGCTAAATGGGACCATTTTATGAACGGAATTGGAGAGAATAGATCACTGGGTAGGTTTTGGAGACTTAACACACAGACGCAAAAGAAGGATCGGCCTATTACAGCAGGCATTATTTACACTGATAATGATATACCAATGACAACAGACAAAGAGAAAGGAAAGCTTTTTTGACGAGATTTATAGACCAAACTGATCATAATGACAGGGAGCTTATAAATTTAGTTAGAAATAATCTGTATTGTACAATAAATGATAAGTATTTTGAGGACATTATTAGTGTGGAGGATATAAAATATGTATTGCAAAAATCAAAGGACACTGCGCCGGGGTCAGACAGAGTCAGGTATGCCCACATGAAGAGCATGAGTGAAGAAGACTCGAGGGAGAAGGCTTTTTACTTCAACCAAAGTATTAGAACAGCTTCAGTACCCCAGGAATGGGTACACAGTTACCTAATTCCACTTCCAACACCAGGCAAAGGTAATTCCAAACTCAGTGGTTTCAGAATTATCACAAAATACTTTTGACAAGGTGCTAAAGAAGATTAATGCTGTTAAACTACAAATGTTTTTTGGAAAGGGAAGAGCTCCTGTCAAAAGGTTTAGGTAGTTGCCGGCCACGGAAAGATACCTGGTCCAGTGCAGCTAGTTTTGCTTTTGATGTTTATGAGTGATTCCAGAACAGACAGGAGACAGTTGTGGCAGCATTTGATCTTGAGGATGCCTACAGCAGAGTCAAATATGATATTTTGATTTCTGCACTCGTGGTGAAAGGGGTTTGTCTGTGGTTTGTGAACTGGATAGCAACTTTCCTGCATTCACGTTTAGTAGCCTTGGCTTGGGTACATGTACCTCAGAACCATGTAATATCGCCCCGGGACTACCACAGGGTTCTGCAATTTCACCAGTGCTCTTTAATGTTTATACAAGCAAGATTGCAAAACTTGAGTCACCAGGTGTTTGAAGAATATTGATATTCGCCAATGATGTTCTTGCAAATAGCCAGGGGAGGAGATAGGCGACGAATAGCTCACGAGCTACAGGCAACTGTAGACAAAGTGACTGACTGGTGTGCAGAAATGGGTGCTGTCATCAACTCGGAAAAGGCAGCTGTTTTGTAGTGCTTTCTGGGCAATAGAATTGTAAAAGCTAACGTTCCAAACATCACAGTAAATAACAGTAACATCAAAAGAGAAAGCAAACTGAGGTACCTGTGTATCATTTTCGATAGAAGCCTGTCCTTCAAGGATCACGTGGATGCAGTTGCAGTAAAATGCCAAAAAAGACTCAATGCTCTCACGATTATGGCAGCAATGGACATGGGACAAAGAATGTTGTTCACAATGTTCCAGCATGTGATCCTGTCGGTGATAGATTGTGGACTTAGCATGCTTACCATATCAAAGAGTCAGCTGATGAAATTTGAACGCATACAGAATGAAGCCATGAGGGTGATTATGTGATGTACAAGAGATACCCCGGTAGTATGTATGCGATATATACTTGCTATTCTTACTATTGCAGAGAGGCTCAAAGTTCTGCAAGCAAAGTCATATCTCAGGGTAGCTGCGGACAAGAGGCACTTCCTACTTTAAGCCCTGATTAGAGCTAAGGGTCACAGACTGGAAAGAGAAAAGTCTTGGATGGCGCAAGCTGATCACAACTGGACATGTGTGCAGGCTTGATAAATTTAGGCGAGGAGAGGAGTGGGTCAAAGTGTCCGATCATGTTTTAGACTTTGGGGCGTGCGTGCAGGGACTGGCCAGCTAGTGCTGCAGGATCAGAAGTTAACAGATGATTCATGACAATTCCTGCCTAAGTGATGTGATTGTATAAACATGTGGCTCTGTGTTAAGGGTCAGACGAAGTGCATGGGGGTTCAAAGCGAAAGCGAATAGACGTTGCTTGATGCAACAAAGCCTGGCATATGATATCACAACGTCTTGTTTGAGAAAAGAGGTGGAGGCAGTCACTGCTGCCTTCCTCTGGCTTGAGAAACAACTGTACATGTAATTATAACTGACTCACAGGTCAGGCTGAGAACGATGGAGACAGGCATGCTCCGTGCAGAGTGGCAAGCATCACTTTAGAGGTCCCGGGTGGTTAGCACCCTTTGGATATTTTCTCCAGGGTATGCCGGTGTTTTTGGGAAATGAGCAGGCAGATAGACTTGCCGGTTCTGCACCAATTGGGGTTTAAACCGATGTATGACAAGCTGGATTCTGTGAGAGCCCTTTGGGAACGAGTGAACAGTGCCGAGGAACAGATTGATCATTACCGTCTGAGAAGATTGGCACTGCGAGGAGTTATAGGGGATCTGACCGACGCTCAACCCTTTGGGGAAAGGTATACAGTCAGTTACTGGTGCCATCGGAATTTTAACTCTTCGCTTGCTGCTGAAGATGATGACGGGGTGCTTACGGACGTGTCCAGAATGCTGTGATGTCGATTCTTAATTCAACAGTTGTCTCTTTGTTTTTATCTTCTTCGTCTTCGTCTTTACCGGCTGTAAACTCCGGTGGATAGTTCTGACCGTTCGTCTGTATTTCCTGGTGCCAATTTTCAACTGAATCGACCTTGCTTTGTGCGACTTCAAATCCAATATCTAGTTAGGTTAGCGAGCATCTTACCAACGCCCAGTCGAGCTGCCTATTTGATTTTACCCCTACGATAAAACAGCTTTTAAACTGTAAGCGACTATGGGAATATATTGATCTTCATAGCCAATTTAAATACATATATTATGACCTCAAGCATAGGGGATTTAAATGTTAGTTCACAGCCACCCAACAACATGAAACTGATAAGTTACAGATGTGTAATTGCCAGACGTCGGCGACTTATCTACTCAGTGTTCTGGTTCCTATTTGTGTGTAATTTTGTTAAATACATTTTACCTCAAACTTTCTTACATGCGCAAGTCACTAATCGCACAAGTCGTGACATTATAATTGAGGCTTATTCAAGAGGGGATCTCAGCCTTAAATTCGAGACAGTAGATAGCCAGAAAAGACCGACATATTTTGGGGTTAATCGTACAGCCAAATCAGCCGAAAGTATTGCAGAACGTTTAAGCTCAATAACGACTGCTAGTCTGAGAGTTTCGACTGGTCGTGACACTAACAGTAATAGCCTTGCTGCAGAGATTACGGACAGTATTTTGGCGACAATGGACAAAAAGTATGTTGGTCTAAACACGGAGCCTAACCAAACATGTGGCACCGCTAGCGTCATTAGAAACAGTTGCAAAACTGGCAGTTGTTTACAGCTGCAGTTGCCAAGAGATTTACAATCCCGAGTTCAACAAATTGTGACGCCTTTACATCTCCAGCTGAACCATCGCATGAAAATGTTGCTATCAGAAATGGCTGACAAAGTACCCGGATACTACGATTTAATTATAGTTTCTGCAGTCTCGTCCAGTCATTTTGAGGAAGGCCAAGCAATGCTCTATAATATTCACAAGCATCTGTTTCCACATTTACGCAATTTTACATTTGTATATTATAATTTGGGGCTTTCGGCAGAGCAGCGCAATATCTTGTCCAAAATATGCAGATGCCATCTTATTGACTTTCCCTTCGAACTTTTCCCGGAGTTTGTCAGGTTCCGGAAATGTTACACCTGGAAACCTTTAATTGTAAGTGCTCATATTTCTAGAAGTAATCTTCTTGTTTGGATCGACGCTTCAGTCAGATTTAATTCGGAATTTAACAAATTTACGGAACTTCTTAACCGAGCACGTAGTCGAGGAATGCAAGTGTTTTTGAATAAACAAACCATCGCTCATGCTACACTGCCAAGTATGTTCCACTTCTTCGGGGATGAGGCTTGTGTGTATGTGAACTCTTCTGTCACTGTGGCTACTGTTTTAGTTTTCCACAACAACTTGGTTGTGCGAAGGGCGATTGTGGAACCCTGGGCTGCCTGCGCCATTAGCAGACGGTGTATGTGTCCTAGAGGAGTGGACCTTTTCCAAATTAGAATATCCTGTCATTTGGAGACGGGTGAGTATGGTACCTGCCATCGCTTTGACCAGTCGGCGATTAGTATTATACTTGCAAAGATGTATCAGGATGGACTCGACTATATAGTGGCGCCCATGAAGGATTATCTTGATATGAAAAGGGGTGACAAAATGAAGTATCCGTTTGTAAATATTACAAAAGTGATTTAAAAGCAAATAAAATGAGCTGATTTAGTGTCCTTGTCTTAGCTTATCAACTTAGGCATAATCATTATGTGTATAATACTCATGTGGCATATCAAACAAGTGCCGTAGATCAATTGTAGGAACCACACCATGCCTGCAATACATAAAGAAGCAACAAATAGAGTGGTACGCTTTTTCGTCCGTTGAGGCGAATGGCGCAAATTAGCTATTTTCGCTCACGTATAATGTGAAAGTTTCATCGGAATGGGGTCTGAACCGTGCAATGGAGTACATGCACGTGAGTTTAGACTTCCCTCAGGGTGTATTTGACGTCCGATGGCAACTATTTACCAATTCAAAACAACCCGTAGACGGACAAGGAGAACGCGAACAGGCAAGCACGGTGGCGCCTGCAGGAAGCGACTGAAATGTGAGAGACTCAGTTTAAAGTATGTTCGTGTTCTCTACTGGAACTGCGCTTCGTTTAGCCAACGCCGACCCATTTTTGAGAAGCTCCTCTACAGCAACGACATTGTTGTCCTACAGGAAACACACCTCGGTGACGAGATCGTTAAAATTGCGGGCTTCCAATCCTTCTACAATAGACGGCACCTCGGACAGCTCATTCTTGTTCGTGACCACATACCGGTGTCTGAGGTGGACATGTCTAAGTGGAATAATGACGACCTACAAGTACACGCAGTCAGAGTGATGGGCCCGGCCCAGTTTGTGATTGTCAATGTGTACGCCTGCAATGGAAAGGTGGATACAGCGAAATGGCAGAGTTTGCTCCAGACGGAGGAAAAGAAAGTCCTTTACTGCGGAGATTTCAACGCCAGAGGACACCAGTGGGGCAATGTAATCACTAATAAACAGGGGGAAGACCTGGAGGATGCCCTAGTGTCTGCCAATCTAGTATGCTTGAACGACGGAAAGGTTACCCGAATGGCAACACGACAAGGGGATTCTGACAGCGTAACTGACCTGGCCCTAGTGTCTCCCTCCATTGCATCAGGATGCAGGTGGAGCACATTGGGATACCACGACAGTGATCACTTTCCTTGCGTCGTCCTGGTAGAGAAGAGCAACAACAAAGGTCATGTAATCAATGTGCCTGCTTTTATATATGACCGTACAGGGCAAGATGCCATTAGCACACCAGCTACGCCAGAAGACTTGTTAATCAACATAGAACTGGTACTATTAGCCATCGGACGTTGGGGTTCATACTGAGGGGAGGATCTGAGCACCTATGGACATGTCCGGAGTGCAATGAGGATAACCCAACTAACTAACTAACTAACTAATAGAGTGGTTTGGCCACTTGATGCGAATGCAAACCGACCAACTGCCTCTACGAGCATACAACGAACATCACTAATGCCCTAGAGCAAGAGGCAGACCGAGAGTACGATGGATAGACAATATATCAGAGATCCTGAGGCAACACGGACTAACAACAACACGTGCAACACACCTGGCCCAGGATAGAAAACTGCGACTCCCCACTACGCTGTGAGGCAAATGTGGACAAGACAAGATTATGACTTTTTTCATCTAGTGTAGTTTTTGAAAGAGTCAAATCTTTAGATTGTGGCACTAGAGTGGCACCGAGAAAGAGATTGGAGTCTCGCCAAATACTATCCCTAAAAACACTGTAGCCAGTTTTAATTGTGAAGATGGCACATAACTATTTTAGTATCTTTTAATGCAGCCGAAATATTTCAGTTGTCTCTTTTTATAACTTTCAGCCTCTTCAGAAAGTCAGTATTTGTTTTTATTTCCATGAGATACGACCTATTCTTATGTATATACATATCTGCAGAGGTTCGACATTTCTAGTTGATTGTTCATTGTCCAGATTTCTGCACCATGCAGTACGTTTGAGTACACATACATAAGTACATCTGCTTGAGAGAATCCTTAGTGTGCATCAGAGATTGGACTAAGTTGTCACCATTTGAGTTTCAAGTCTTCATCACCACGAATGCTTTTAAGTCAAGTCTCGAATACATTTATTTCGCGTATGAAAGTCATTTTCAAATCGAGCTTGGGGAAAATGCATATGGATTAAACACTCGTAATTACTGAACTTTATTCACCGAACTTTGTATAAAAGCAAAAAAAGTCGATTGTGAAAGCTTGATAAATTGAAACAGAATTTGTATATCCTATTTTATGTGAAGACGTTTTAATTGTGACGATCATCAAACCTCACAGTGGTCTGACAAGAAGAACAAATCACACCAAGTGGTAAATAGAGTCACTAGACAAAACTGCTAGACTCGCATTCTGACCTCTGGTATGCATATAAGTTGGCCAGATCAGTACAAACGGATGTGCAGGCATACGACAAGTTCTCAAACAAGACCCAGAAGTCGACGAACAACCAGAACTTTCCAGTGGTGTTTACAGTCGTTAACTCTAAAAGAGGAGTACAGTTATCAGGCTGGCGTACATTTTGAAGGAATAAACTCTTGAACTTAAGTTGTTTAGTTCCTTTACGAAATAAGATTTGTTGTTGTTCTTCGTGTTGTTCTATTAATTTAAATTAATTACAGTAGTGACCAAAAGTTGAAGACCACCTGGTGAATAAATACTGTATTATAGACATTATTTGTAAATCATCATTTCACTCTAAAACAGTAGGTAATGCTTAAACCATAAGTGAAGAAATATATATTAACGAGTGATCTAAAACTTTTGGCCACCATGTGTGTACATATTACTAGGATTGTGTTACATTTATTTAAAAAGAATAAAGAACTAAACCCAAACATTGTATGTTGTGCAATATTTGACTAAACTATCAACCCAAAAAAGCAAAAGACCAAGCAAGTTAATGTAACCAGTTTTATAAGAAAGCGCCCATGGAACTAAATCGGCCGTGCACTCAAAACATATAAGACAAGACTCCCCAATTAGGCCCTCACTTGCATAAGGAAAAGGGGGGGGGGGGAGTTTAAGAAGTATTCGTCATGATCAAGTGCTTACTTAGTTATAATCACTTTTTTTTCAACAATATTGACAGCCTGTTACTTTTGTTTATCTGTGTAATACTAGTAAAAGTAAGTAAAAAGTAAAGGACGCTTTTCCGCGATTTCAGGTGTATTGGTCATACAGGGCTTGGCCTATATTTTATAGACCAATCGGCGCTCGATGGGTAATACGGTCAGTATCACACGGGTCGACTTTAAAGACTGAAGCGTCTGCCTCCACAGAACCTACAAAGTGCTACAGGTTATCACACATGGCACATTTTATAATTTCTACCACTATACTAAAGGTTCCAAGCCTCACAATTAATAACAATAACATCAAAAGAGAAAACAAACTGAGGTACCTGGAATCACTTTCGACAGAAGCCTGCCCTATAGGGATCACGTAGAGGCTGTGGTGGGGAAATTAAAAAAGGACTGAATGCTCTCAAGATGATGGCAGCAATGGACATGGAACAAGAAATGCTGTTCACAATGTTCCAGCGTGTGATCCTGTCGGTGATAGATTAAGGGCTTGGAATGCTTACCAAATCAAACTGAAAAGAGAAAGGTCTTAGATGGCACAGCCAGACATGTATGCAGGCTTGATACATTTGTGCGAGGTGAGGAGGGGTCATAATGTCCGTGCAAGTTTCAGGCGTGTGCAGGGTTGTGAGTGCATGGACTGGTCAGCTGGCGCTGCAAAATCAGACGTTCAGCAAATAGTTCATGACAATTTCCGCCCAAGTGATGCAATTATCTATACAGATGGCTCTGTGTTGAGGGGCAGACGAAGTCCACGGGAGGTCATAGCAAAGGCGATTGGACGTCGCTTAGTGCAGCAAAGCCTGGCATATGATATCACTACGTCTAGCTTGAGAAGATGGATGCAGTCACTGCTGCCTTCAACTGGGTTTAGAATCAGCTATACACACGTGCCGTGATTCTGACTCACAGAACATGTTGAGAAAGGTGGAGACATGTATGCTTCGTGCAGAATGGCAGGCATCACTTCAGATGTCCGAGGTAGTTAGTATCTTTTAGATACTCTCTCCAGGTTATGCCGGTGTGTTGGGAAATAAGCAGCCTTATGGACTAGCCGGTTCTGCACCACTTGGTGGTGAATTGATGTATGACAAGCAAGACGTTTTGAGGGTCCTCTGGGAGCGAGTGAATAGTGCGGAAGCTCAAATAGAACATTACGGTCTGAGGAGAATGGCGCTGCGAGAAGTTACCAAGGTATCTGGCTGACGCACAGCACCCAGGGAAGGGCAAGACAAATATGCAATCAGACATTCACTGGTGCCATTGGAATTAAAACTGTTTGCTGCTGAAGATGGGCGCTGAGCTCTTATGCGAGTGTCCCGATTGCTATGATGTTGATTCTTAATTGAACATTCAACAGTAGTAGTAGCAGCAGTACTAGCAACAACAGTAGTAGCAGCAGCGATAGTAGTAATAATAGCAGCAGCAGCATCAGTAATAGTGGTAGCAGTAGAAGCAAAAGTAGTAGCAGCAGCAGCAACATCATTTGTAGTAGTAGTAATAGTAGTAGAAACAGCTGCAACATCATTTATACTATAGTAGTAGCAGCAGCAGCCGCAGTTGTAGTACAAAAGTAGTAGTTGTAGCAGCAAGAGCAGTTGTAGAAGCAGCTGCAACAGTAGTAATCGTAGTAGGATTAGAAACAGCAGCATTAGTAGTAGGTGAAGTATTACCAGCAATATTCATTTCTATGGAATGAGGTAGTCTGTATCAAAAACAAATGTCCTTAATCCACTCTTACGAAGAATGTTGCAAAATACCATCAGCAGTAGAAGCATAAGCAGTAATAGTAGTAGTACAATGGTAGCAACAGTAGTAAAAGTAGCATAATAGTTGTCGAAACAGCAGCAACAGACTTGTGTGTGTGTGTGGTGCTTTTCTCCCTATTGGGGTCTATGACTTAATAATTTATAAACACGTAGTTTTGCTAAATTAGTCAACTTGATTTTTAAGTCAACAGTGTCTTTAATTCTTCCAACTTTAGGATAGGTATTTCGCTCC